AGCCCTCCCTCCCTCCCTGCTCGTAGTAGGAGAGGGTTTGGGACTCATCCCACCAAAAGCTCTGCGACAGCAGCATGTCTCGCAATGGAAGCCCCATGTCAGTTTCTTCTCCTTGCTCCAGGCTCCTCCATCACAGAAACTGCCCTTCCTGTACCTGACAGATTCCATCATCAAGAATGTGGGAGGAAATTACGTGCCTGCATTTGCTAGAAACTTAATTTTCATATTCCCCAGCGTGTTTGAACAGGTATGCACACTTTCAGATAAGTTCTGTAATCTCAGCAGCATTTGCTCCTGGTAGGACATACATGCTTTCCATTTGGGGTTTTCTTGTTCTGCTGCCCTATCTTTAACGTTTTACTCTTAAGAAGAAGCGACAGACACAAACTCAAAGGCAGGAAGGTCCACCTGAACTTGGGAATGCTCTCACTTACTGAGAGGGTGACTGAGCACTGGGAGGGTGCCCAGAGCGGTTGTGTAGCCTCCTTCCCCGTTGCCTTCCAATAGTTTTGTTACTGTATTTTTTTGCCCACAGAAATTGGGCAAGGAAAATGACACTTTTGCTAGAGAAATAGTTGACAGAAAGTTTTCAGAGAATGGAATCTGAGCAATAAAACCTTCAAATAGCCTTGACACAACAATTCCACGTTCGAGCTTCTGTTCCTCAGTCCATGGGTATAGATGTATGACCTGCACTGCTTACAAGTGCTCTAGAGCAAGGTGTTAAAATGGCAAACTGTTCCTAGAGACAGGAAATAGATGAAATCTTTAGTTCGACAGAAAACATCAAGAAATTCTTTTCTATTCCCTTAACAAGCCCTACAATTGTCTGATTGTTTTAGGTGGATGCAAAGACTAAGAAGTCTTTATTTCGATTACGCTCTACCTGGAATGGTCTTTTTCCTGCAAAGACACTGCTTGCTCTTGACATCAAGGTCAATGTATTAGATCCAGCGTGGCCAATTAACCCCCTGCCGGCAAACCTGGACTTCTCCAGTATCCTTGCAAAACACAAGTTCCCAAAGAAATCAGTAAGTTTGTGTGCCTGCTGCGTGAGCAGATGCTGATACGTGTAGATGTCATTGCCTGTCTGCTGCTCTCTGACAATTTAGCGTGTTAATAACAAAGTATGTGACCTCTGTACACGGGCAAGAGGATTTCCTGCGCTGAGAGTATTGGATAGGTTGGGGTTTTAGGTTTCAAAACTCTCTTCCAGATTGTGGAACAATGACAAAGTTCTTGGGGTTCTGTTTTTCACTTCTCTCCAAAATGCTGCCTGCCCATGCTCCTCGTCTTCCATCTCTTCTTGTCGCTCACAGCAAGCCAGGCTAACTCAAATATATTTGCTCTTAGAGAAGAAGGAAGCCCAATTGTTGGAAGTAAGATCAGTTTTCTCATTAGCTCAGGCCGTTTTGATGCCACCATCAGAAGACGGGGGTTAAGCTGTGCTCTCTTACAGTCATAAGTGAAAGCCTCAATATGTTTGATAGTGAATTATACCAAAACAAAGCACCTCTAAAGTGTAGAAATACGGAAATGAGATCAGATGCTCGGCAGTTTAGTTGCCCTGAGCATGTGGAATATGTAGAAAAACTGATGCTGTGATGAGAACATGTGCCTGGGTGATGTATTTTGTGGTACTGACCTTGTATTACTGATTTTGCAGGAACACGAAAGCACAACATCTGCGTCTGAAAGAAAAGTGATGACAACAGAGAAATCAGAAACCCAGAGTCCGAGTCCAGAACAACCACCATGTTTGCAGGCGAGGAGCTCACTAAAGAGGAGATGTGGGAGTTTATCTCCCACTTTGTCATCTCCTAAAGTAAGGAAGGTATGTCTGACAGCCCTAAGCAGCCTCCTGTTGAAGAAGGCTTATGCAGTCCTTCGTGGACCTTGCAATACCAAACTGGCATGGTTCACTCTGGGAAGGAGTTTGCCATGTATAAAATCACTGAGAAACTTGTACAAGTTCATGATAAAAAAAAGCAAGTTTCTAATGGCATTCTTACACAAACAATCCTTAAATGCTGACTTCTGCAGGTTTCGTCTGCGTCTGATCAACCTGGGCCTGAAGACCAAGCTCAGCAGAATTTCCCACATGTCGGAAGTTGTGCTGAGAACCCTGGGGGAGCTGTGGAAAATCCATGATGTTGACCACGACAAGACTGTTTAAACCAACTGGGGGTGGGGGGTGCTGTTTGTTGTTGTTGTTCTGCTTTCTTCTTCTTTGTTCCAGTTTGATTTTTTCTAGTAAAAAAATAAACTGAGTTGTTCTAATGAAATAGACCAAAATACTGAATGAAAGGAAAAGGGAAAAGGAAAGGGAAAGGGAAAGGGAATAATGAAATAATGAAAATAAATAATAAAATGAAAAAAGCAAGGGAAGGAGGGAGGGAAGCAGGCACCGCAAGCAAGGAGGGAAAGAAGGAAGAAATAAAAAGAAATGAACAAATGAAACAAAAAGAGCATCTAACATTCAAATCTCCTTTCGGTTTAGGTGCTAAAGGTAGGAATGCCCAAAACCAAGGTTGCTTGGCATTTTCTATTTCAGCTAATTTAGTTAATGCCAAGCTTGCTTAGTGCTTCAGTAAGTTTTACATCTGATCTCTGCTGATGATGTGTGTGTAGCATGAAGCTGAGCGGATCCATGCCCTGACCATACTGGCCGAGGAGACCGCGTGCTTCGCCAAGGACGTTGTGTATCTGATTGAAGCACAAATCACCAAGGTTTTTAAATGCCACTGGCTACTACTCATACCTGTACTGCTGGAGGGACCAGCTGGGGCAGCAGGCATGGGCGGCCTCAGGGGCTAGCAGGAAGGGCACAGGGGAGATGGAGTGCTGAGGAGCACAGGAGACAGGCAGCACGAGGTGCAGGGGTTACAGGAGGAGGAATGTAGAAGGGACAAGGAGAGACAGCAAAGTGGGCAGGGGACTCCCAGGAGGGCAAGAGCCCTCCCTCCCTCCCTGCTCGTAGTAGGAGAGGGTTTGGGACTCATCCCACCAAAAGCTCTGCGACAGCAGCATGTCTCGCAATGGAAGCCCCATGTCAGTTTCTTCTCCTTGCTCCAGGCTCCTCCATCACAGAAACTGCCCTTCCTGTACCTGACAGATTCCATCATCAAGAATGTGGGAGGAAATTACGTGCCTGCATTTGCTAGAAACTTAATTTTCATATTCCCCAGCGTGTTTGAACAGGTATGCACACTTTCAGATAAGTTCTGTAATCTCAGCAGCATTTGCTCCTGGTAGGACATACATGCTTTCCATTTGGGGTTTTCTTGTTCTGCTGCCCTATCTTTAACGTTTTACTCTTAAGAAGAAGCGACAGACACAAACTCAAGGGCAGGAAGGTCCACCTGAACTTGCGGAAGTTCTCACTTACTGAGAGGGTGACTGAGCACTGGGAGGGTGCCCAGAGCGGTTGTGTAGCCTCCTTCCCCGTTGCCTTCCAATAGTTTTGTTACTGTATTTTTTTTGCCCACAGAAATTGGGCAAGGAAAATGACACTTTTGCTAGGGAAATAGTTGACAGAAAGTTTTCAGAGAATGGAATCTGAGCAATAAAACCTTCAAATAGCCTTGACACAACAATTCCACGTTCGAGCTTCTGTTCCTCAGTCCATGCGTATAGATGTATGACCTGCACTGCTTACAAGTGCTCTAGAGCAAGGTGTTAAAATGGCAAACTGTTCCTAGAGTTTCTTCCCAATACATCAAGTGTCTTGTTAGCCTAGACATTCTGTAGGAATTACAAGTTTTCAGCAAAGTAGTAAAGCCTGACTAGGAGTAATATAAAATATGATTGCAATGAGACACTCCTGCCAGAATACATTTACAGCTCATAAGTAGCTTTGCTACAGGACTGAAACAAAATTCCTTTAAGAAAGTTACTGCTTCCAATCCAGCTTGCAAAGGGGCACATATTAACATTTTAAGAGATCATGCTTTAGAGTATTTCTTCTATATTATTAACATTCAAAGTTAAGATCAAAAAAACCCCATTCTAAATAGACTAACTGCTTGCAAGCAGCTGCCAATAGAAGCGCATAGAAAATAAGAGTCAGCTCTAAGGAATAATAGAAGGCTGGAAATCTGACTCTAACACAAGTTTAAAAAACTCTTTTGCAAAGTTTGTTGCATCAGCCAAGCTCAGAAGCAACTTAATTTGATAAAATCCATAACAGCATATCTAAAGGATGTCAGAATTTGAATGATATAAGGAACAAAACAAAGCAAGTTTAACAATAGCTTTCCCAGATCAACACAACTTTACAATATAGACTTTACAAGTCTACATATCTTTTCCACCAAAACCTTAGTGAGAGCATTGTCTATTTTAAACAATAGCTTTAAAACGTTCTAGGCAATATTTAAAATCCACAACTAGTCCGCAATTCGTAAAAGGACTTACTTTGACTGTTGACAGTTCTTGAGTGAGTTAATACACTTGCCTAGAATCAGGAGGGAGGTGTTTATATTTCTACTCTCTTTCAATCTATCCCCTTCATTACGGGTCTTGGTACATCCTTCTGAACCAGCAAGATCACACAATGACAATCTGAAAGCAGATAAAGAAATCCACTTTATCCACCTTTGAGCATGAAGAAATTACATGCTTTTTAAAACACTTTCCTTAGATAAAGAATTTCTTGCTGCTTCCCTAAACAAGTTTCACACTACTGCCTGCCAAACTCTTCCCCAACAGGTTTCCCCTTCCCCCCAATTCCTTCTGAGGACTTACATGAGTTCAGGAGTACAGCAGGCTAACTGAACCCTGTGTTGAATAGAGGGTACAAGATACAAAACAGCACTGCCACCTGATGGCTTGAGGTAGAGGACCAAGTACCATATGAATTTAGAAAGTGGGGAAAACTGTACGTGCATGAGGCTCTACCAGAGAGTTCTGGGTGTACAGTGCAGTACCAGCACATCAACATGTAAGATAACTGACAACATCATAAAAGAGGGAGACTCACCTCTGAACTTACTCATTGACTCCAATCACTTCTGGTGCTCCTGAATCTTCAATTTTCAATACTTTATCTGTGAATATGCTGTGACTTAAAGAAATTTAAATCAGTAGAGAAGTGAAAATATTTTCAGCCTCCTCCACATCTGTTCAAAACACTGTTGAATCTGCCAACATATCTATACATATACCCCATCAGATACAAACTTTTGAAGAGATACTTATGTAGCACTTATTTTCCTTTTTTCTCAGACATTTAGATAGAGTAAAAGCCAAGTGCTTTTGCCTGAAGGAGACTATTTGATAGAACACTGTTAGGTTTAGTACATGTTCATCTTATTGAAGGATTGAATCCTTTTGGCTCAAAGCACTGCTAAAGGATGCCAAGCCCTAAACAGAGATATCTAGACCTTCTTCCTAAGCCTAGATATCTAGACTTTCTTAAAGCTTCTTCCCTAGACCTTCAAGCCATATTTTTGTTGCATGCTCCGTCCCACACACCATCCTATGCCCAGTGTTATTCAATGTTTCTCACCTCCTGCTGGAGTTAGCATTTAGTTTCGTGCTTGCAGTACTCTGATGTTTCAACCCCAGTTTTAGAAGTCAAAAAGCTTCTTTAGAATCAGAAATCTGTACCCACTGCAGACCTTTAGGAAGAACAAACATGATAAATTTGTAAATATCAACAAAAAGTAAGAAGGGCTTCAGAGATAACATATGCACACCAGGAGTAATACTATTTGGCAATTTGCAATGTATTCCAATCACCTTTTACATACGAACAACCCTTGATGTCTTGAGCAAGGCGTAGCGTCCTTCCTTTCTTCTCATTTGATATAGGAATCAGGAGATCATAAAAACATTCATTGTAAATCTCAAAAAATGAAACCCAAACAGAAAACTTCATGTCATTTTTCACAGTTGGGCTAGACTGCTCCGAGTCTTTTAAGAGCTGTTCCAAATCTGGCAAGAACAAAGTATTACAAGTCAATATAGGCCTAGTAATGTGAATTTCATTTTAAAAAACTAGTAAGTGAAAACTGAGCCTTCTAGAACACGTGTCGTAGACAAAAACAACTGAGATCCCCTCCCCCTTTATTAAGCATCACACGTTTACCCTACATAATTGCCAGAGACACTCTACCACTTCCTTTTCCACTTGCAAATTCTTTCAAATACACACAGCTTGCCTGGAATTATTCAAGTCTCTCCAGTATCTTTAGAAGGTTGAATTAAATCAACAAGTACACTTCATTCTGACTTTTTAAAGCAAACATGGGTAGTTTTTAAGTGCAAGAATTAGATTACATACAGTTACTCTAAAAGCCTGTCAGGACACCATTAGGGCCCACAGAATAAGCAGTACTGTTTTCTGCACAGATAACTTGCTTACTACCCAATTCACAGGCATATAAAAATGTCAAGTCGTCATTTTGTTATTAACATAGGCCATAAGTCAGTTATTGACCTGAAGAAAACTTCTTTGTGAGCTTCGATTACAATTCCTTAATATTAAACATACCCTTGGAATCAGCCGGTGCTTTGTTGGTGGTGCTATTTCTATGGTCTACCTATAAAAGAGAACAGACTTGAAGATGCATTGTTGACCCTACACCACTAGGTACTCCTGTAGTAGCTCTATTGTCCTACTAGATAAGAATGCAGCACAGCTGTAATATGCCAGTACAAAGACTCTGCCTACATATTATGCCTAGTGCACCAGTAGACTCCTGTTAAAAGGATTGTTCTTACTTTAATACTCATTCCTGACATTTCCATTATGTCAGGCCTTATCACAGCATACAGCACTTCAGCTTGCTGAACCAGAAGAAAATGAGCCAGAGAAAGAGAGAAGTGAGAGCCCGCACAGAAACAGGGTTATTTAAACAGGATGATTTGCAGGAGTCCAGTTGCAGTTTACACATTACTCTTTATCACAGCAAATGTGGAGTCCTGATTTTTTTTTATTATTGGCATTTTGCTAATCCAGAATTCCTTATCTTGCAGTTTATTAGGTCAGCTCTCAGAAACAGGGAAGTGTAGAACATATATTCACTTAAGAAGTTCAGTGAGCAATTTATTGCTTTGTGATTCAACTGTGAAAGGTTTCTGCAGCCTGTAATAAAGTCTAGGTCTTAGGAAGAGAACAAAAATCTTCTGTGCTGTTCAGTAAAAGAAAACCACAAGTCTAGAAAAGATCAAAGAACAAATCAGAGCTTATGAGGTTCATACACATGTACTCCATTCCCAGTTTTAGTTTTGGTTGAATGATCTTTGTTTAGAAACAGAACTGCCTAAGAGAGAGGGAAACAGGTCTGGTTTAAGTCAGTTTGGTTTTGTTTGTGTGTTAGGTTTTTTTTGGTTGGTTTGTTTGGGTTTTTTAATGTTTTGTCAAGGTTATATTTCACTTAAAGCTGGAATTCTATAAAGATATTCCTGAAATAGTTAAATAGTTAGATAATCAAAACTTTTAGGTTTGAGCTTTATACATTAAAAATACCTATAAAAATCTGCCTCTTAATATAGATACAAACTTTGCCACTGGAGAAGTCCAGTTAACTAAGATTAGTCCCATACATTCCAAGACACAACAGCCAGAATACTTCATTATAACCCGGCATACCACTAGGGAGATAAATTAGGCATTTTCATTAAAGAAAAAAAAAATAGAAAACCACAATAATTCCTTCCTAGTTCAAATTGCCAGCATACACTCAGGTTTCTTATTCCATTCATTTCAGAATTAAAAACATCAAGAAAAAGGGTATCCTTACATAAAATACAAATCCCCTATAACTGTAATGAGACTAAACAGCTTCAGGATTCCAGGCAGCTCATGAAACTGAGGTGTATTTCTGGACTATTCAACAGTGATCTGTTTAAGAAGGAAGCCCAGCACAAACCCGTTTTAAATCAAATTTTTAGAAGTCCACTGGCTTTATAGCTCTGCTTTAAAAATTAAATAAAAATTGCTTCTTTTGAGGATACTTGCCAAACAAAGAGGGGAACAACCTCAAAATCATTAATTTCAGTCAAGTACCCTGAAAGACAGTAATTCTTTAAAGGAGCAGACCTAGAAGCATCTCCACAGATGGGGATACTATTAGTGTACAGTCCTTTTTAAGCACCAGCAACCCTAGAGGATAAATTGTCAGGTGCCCAAGCTACAGGAAAACACACCCCTAAGTTTACATCCTACCAAGTATTCAGCTGCAAGACAGAAACCCACAGGAAAACAGGGTTCATCAGCTCTACTGCCCACTTTACTGCTCATCCGAATGGCTGGCTGACAGCAAATAGATATGTCCATGCTTAAATACAATGTATTTCTATTGAGAAATTAACAGGGTAACACTGAGCTATCTAAAGATGTGCATACTCTTCAGTATAGGAAGAAGTGATTCTTTACCTCTTTTGTTAGGCGAAGTATTGAATTTTTAATAGCAATTTCTTCTCTCACTTGGTTTTCAGTCAGCTTTATATAATCTCTACAACAATGGGGTTTGAGATCCATTGCTGTGTATAACTTTCCTCGAATGCTTTTAAACAACATATCCATTGCCCTTGGCAGAATACCAACATCATCTTCTGTCCCTGAAGGCAACATACAAAAGAAAGATCCTAATTATTACTGGGACCAAGATAAACAGATAAATGAAGACAAAAATAAGAAATCTTAATCTCAAGGGACACATGAGGAATTTGGAGGCCACTTACAGCATCAAGCAGTAGGGTTTTGGTTGGTTGTTTGTTTTCTCAATAGAACAGAAACATCATGAATGTTTTTGAAAGTATTTGGCTTTCAGCAACTGCTTATGCTCTATACTTCTGACAGTAAGGGGTAAAACATACAACAAAAAACTGCTGGGGTATTCTCATAAGCTTAGCCTTAAAGGAAAAAAAAAACAACCCAAACAAAAATACTACAACCAAGAAGACACTTAGAGAACTGGAGTTTTTGAAATCAAATTTCATAGGCTGTCTTCACTCACTCTCTCAAGGAAGTAATCCTGAAATACAAGTCATTACTGATCTCTCAGCTGTTGCCCTGTACTAATTCCACAGACCCGACAAAAGAAGTACTAGAAACCTTGTGGAAAGGACACAGGCCTTTCCCTACCCCAGACCCTTTTCTCAGAGCATACTACTTTTGCTCCTGAAAGGCAAAAAGGAGTCAAATAAAAGATTTTGTGCACATTGGATTTTTCTGAATCCAGATGCAAGTTTAAGAAGGGTTCACTTAACTGATTTCTAAACCAGAGAGGATGTGATAGACTAGAAGAGAAACTACTGTTCTGTCTCAGACTCCAACAGCATTATCTTCCAGCCTCTGATAGTTTCTGCTACTCTTGAGACAGATGGGCTTCTAGGAGTTACAGCACTAGCTGCACCACATAAATCAGAACTGATGTAAAATCTAGGTAGCACTTAAAAACCAAGCCAAGAACTAAATAACATAGGAAATTAAAGTACTGTTGCCTTATGTTTATTTCTCATCATTGTCTCTCTTCTCTAATCATTTCTTGTTTATTGTGATGTCATTTGTTAGTCGACTTAACATGAACAAAGTAACACTCACTGGCAAACAATAAATAGTCTTAAAAAAAGACACAAAAACCCAAACACTAGTCTAGTGTAGAGTAACTTACATACCTTTCATATCCTGGTACACAGAAGCTATGTTTTCCTAACTCCCTCTCCTCCCTGACAGTCTAGATCCTTCAAGGGGAAAAGAAAACTCAAACAACTGATTGAAATTATTCTAACCTTACAAATCACTGTATGCTTACTTTAACTCTGGGAGGGACTCCATCTGTTGGCAGCTTAGCGATATTTGTAATGGAAGGGGGCTCGCAAAGGCTATTTATTAATATTCAAGATAAGCCAATGTCTAGGACCTACACTTTAAATAAAGTAAAAAGCTATAATATTTCTGCTAGAAGCAATGAGCACTCAAGAAAGAAATTTCATTCAAGGAGAACTCACATCTGCTTATACCTTGGAATGTGTAGGTTTTCCCAGCATTTGTAACACCATATGTAAAAATAAGGCGATTATATCCATCTAAGAAATCCTGCACAGGTTGCCTCATGGCACCTTCAAAGACTTCTTCTTGAGTTGTTTCAGGTCCAAACACCTGAGCATAAACAAAATAAAGACATCTCTTGGTAAAGCAATCATTAGAGGCTTCTAAAGAATCTTTTAAATATTATATATCTGTAAACTTAAAGACTACTGATTATTGTTACAAACGAAAGGTCTAAACTCCTTTAAAAAGATATCCAAACAATGCAAGCATCAAAGTTTTCTTACCTGGCTTGTATCTGAGCGTGAAGAAACCAAAGAAAATTTAGTAGAGAGATCTGCTTTAATATCTTCCACGTATGCTGGTCCTGTTCTTTCAGGTGGCTCAATACTAATAGTATAGGAGCATCTGAAAAGTCACTCATTATCCAGCATTGGTTCCATCCTGCAAGATAAAACACAACTATTTTTTGCTCTCTGATCATATAATATAGAGCTCGTGAAGTCCTTTAGAATACAATTTGAAACCAATAGGTTCAAGTTCTCCAAGGAGAAAGGTTTCTTTATTCTATATATCATTTACATAGCCAGTTTCTGATAGCTGGGGAGAGTGTCTGCAGAGGGGTTAGCATCATGATGAAACAAGAACAGCCATTCTCCCATTTGTCTTTTAATGGAAAGCAACTGCTTACCAGGAAAAGCCTTACACATATACCACGACTTTGCTAAAAAACATGTCTGACAAGGGAGATAAAATAAAAAAACCCACCAAACAAATTACATTGCTCCACATCCACTTGTCCATGATCCCATTATAGCATCCATTCTGAATACTCATTGCACGAGTAACCAAAATTCATGGATATCTCTGCAGGACCTGATAAATTCCAAAGACTAAAAAAAAATACCTGTTGTGGTTTAACCCCAGCCAGACATCTTTTTCACTCAGTCCCCTGTGGGGGTTGGAATGTATCGAAACTGGCAGAGACCACGGGAAGGGGAAGCTACAGCAGGCAATTAAGAATGACCATGGAAAGGAGGAACCCCAGGAGGCAATTAAGAGTGACCCGTCCCTGACTGGTACTTGGAAGATGTGGGAACTGGCAAGGAACAAGGACATCGGAACTGGGAAGAAGATGTCGATAAGAAAATCAGATGGACCTTTCACCTGATGTAACCACAAGGCAGACACAGATGTGCTTGGCTAATTGCTTGAAAATATAAATATCGTGTAATCTTTGCAATAAACGATCCAGCTTGCACTCTACCTCTGGGTCCGTGCCTCCACCCTCACACTCCCCCCCCTTCTTGCCCTCCCCCTACTCCTGAAGGGACGGAGAGGAGAATCAAAAAGAATGCAACTCCCACGGGTTGAGATAAGAACAGTTTAGTAACTAAGGTATAACACAGATCACTACTGCTACCAGCAATACTAATGATAAAGGAAGTAACAAGGGAAGAGAATACAACTCATCACCAGGCGACCGATAACTCATCCCCCCAGCCCGACCAAGCACCGACCGATACCTCCTCCAACCCTGCCGTCCTTAGCCCTATCAGGTAACTCTCCCTTACCTCCTGGGCATGACGTGCTGTGATATGGAATACCTCTTTGGTCAGTTTGAGTCAGGTGTCCTGTCTCTGCTTCCTCCCAGCTTCCCTCCTCCCTGGCAGAGCAGGAGGCTCACAAAGCCCTTGGCCAAACCAGAACATCATTGTTTTCAGCTCTGTTCCCAGGCCAAAAGTCAAAACACAGCACTGCACCAGCTACCAAGAAAGAGAAAAACGACTGCTACTGCTAAACCCAGAACAATACCTTTAGCTATTAAGGGGACACTAGAAAATTAGAAGACCCCATGACACAGTATAAGTATTGCCTTTTAGCATTTTTCAACCATTTTACGCATCAACAATTCATTTATAAATCTATGATTTAAAGACTTCTGTCCATCTCAGAACCTGGGAAGTGAAAAATTTGCTATTGAAAATGAAATAAATTAATTCAATGTTGAGTAGACAGATAAATTTCAAAATAACTTTTTTAAAGTGCATTTAAAAATGTTAGTATATTTTGTTGGCATTTTACTCTCCTACTGCTTTTTCCTGTGGAGTTACAGATGTGACTTGTCAGCTTTAATTATGGACTGAGTTTAAAATAACTAACTCATTGGGCAATTTCTCATAGAGGATGGCAGCAAGCATTGTAGCAATTGGACACCTACTACATGACCTCCTAGTTCTGAAATGCACATGCAGCGCTCATTAAAGCAATGGACAGATCAGAGCTGGTTCAAAGCCCCTTTGCTCAGGAAGAGGAGTGCCTATAAAGCAGTTGTAACTTTTTTGCTCCCCCCAGCATAAAACCTGAAACACGTCTGCACTTCAGAGCCAAACCACTTTGAGGCTTAGTCTTTCTACCCAGCCTGTAAAAGGCAGACACAGAACTTCATTAAGTTAGGCAAACATCACCACGCTACAAATGAGGTAGAGTTCTAGATAAACTAAGCAGCAACATTTACTTTGTTCCTCCTAATATATAGCTTTATTTTGTTAGGCCTGGTATGAAAGCAAGGAAAACTTGGCCTGAAATACTATCACAGCTTGAACAAACACTGACCTGTAACTAAACTACTACAGGAAACAAACATACCTGTGCTATCACCATCTAGAAGTCTTACTGATCAGATACAGAAAGTCACACAGTAAAACTCTTGTCAGGACTTGACAGGAAAAATACTTCTTAGATAGCTGACACCTTAATTGCTTTAAATATAAACTTTAAATATGATTTGCAAAGATTATGCTCTTATTCTGTACCTTTTTATGCAATTCAAAAAACATTAAGCTATGTTTGCAAAGCTGGAACTCCAAGTGCTCATATGAGCCCAGCACTAAAACCAGTAAAGTTCAGCCAGACAACATGGAAAACCCAAGATGCAGACTGTCCATCTCCACAGCATGTCATACGGCACAGTAATTACCATAGGCATTCTTATGTAAACAGGTATACTACCTGGCTGTAGGCACCGAAGCGTGCTTACATACTGGGATATGTTATTGTAACTCTGCTTATAGTGACAGTAGAGTTTAGAGCTGCAGAGACCCTAGCAGAAAGGGATCCAGAAAGGCACACAGCAAACTGCAGTCACAGTACACACACGGGCTGTGTAGTTCTGTTAAGCAGCACAAGAAAGGATAGAAAAGGCTCCACACAGACTGGCAGCTTGACATCAGATGTTACATGAAAACAAAGGAAAAAAAACCATTTTCCCTCTGCGAATATCAACCTTTCACTTCAAGGCTTTGCACTATTTTCCCAGTTTTATGGGACACTGGCACATTGCCTTGTCAGCATCACAGCCCTGGGCCAAGCATTACCCGCGGCTTTCAAGTCCGGCAGCCGTACCGAGCTTTCAGACTCCCCCCACCCCAAGACTTCCCACACACCATTCCCAACCGCAGGCGCCAGCCACAATGAGCAGAAGAGGCCCCAGCGCCACCCTCCAGGACGGCCACCCTCCAGGACGGCCACCCTCCAGGACGGCCACCCTCCAGGACGGCCACCCTCCAGGACGGCCACCCTCCAGGACGGCCACCCTCCAGGACGGCCACCCACACTGCTTCTTCCCAGCTTCGCCACCCGCGGGCCGCGACCACGGCCTCCTTTCCTCCTCGCCCAGCACCGCCGCCACCCGCACGACTCGCCTGAGAGCCGAGGCTCCACTGGGCGGGCGCAGCCGCCAGCTCCAGGCACACGAAGGCAGCCCAGCGCTCCGCCCCCTTGAACCACTTCCGTCATCACCGGTACCACGCAGCCGTCACGGCCGCGCCTTCCTATCAAATCCCACCAATGGCAGTGCGCGCAGGGAAATGTAGTCTTGGGGGGGTGCCGTCGGTCCGGCCTGAC